GCTCGAAAAACTTGAAATTGACTTTTCAAAATGAAGCGCACTGGAAAAAATAACGTTATCTCGGCTTCTATTGAACCGAATTGCTTCTTTTTTTTTTTAAATTAAAGCTCTCAACAAATAATTAACAATTACATATGTTTAAAACCATTTGACCAAGTCGAAATCCATCTAAATTAATGTTTTATTTTAAGATGGTATATTCTCGTCGGTTTTGGGCGATATAATAATTTGATTAATTGTTATTTTTACTGTGTATGATTTTTATTGACAACTGTTTATTATAAACAAATTAATTGCATTTAACCTTTTTCATTAATGGTTATGTGCAAGTTGTAACGTTTGTTTTTTTTCGAAATAAACTTAATCGAGAAAATTCTTATTAATAATTTATTATGAACAATTTCGAATCGACATTATCATATAATTTATCAGTTTCGAACCATAATAAAAATATTAACATATCAACAGTTATTCCTTCAGTAATAAAAATCAACGAAGAAGAGATTTATTCTCCTAGGAAAAACGAACGACTATTCAACCCCGATGCGACGGAACTAAACGTTTTTTGGGGTAGCATAACCCAGAGCGAGGCCGAATATTATATTAATAAAACTGATTCGAAATTGTTCATAATAAATTATTAATAAGAATTTTCTCGATTAAGTTTATTTCGAAAAAAAACAAACGTTACAACTTGCACATAACCATTAATGAAAAAGGTTAAATGCAATTAATTTGTTTATAATAAACAGTTGTCAATAAAAATCATACACAGTAAAAATAACAATTAATCAAATTATTATATCGCCCAAAACCGACGAGAATATACCATCTTAAAATAAAACATTAATTTAGATGGATTTCGACTTGGTCAAATGGTTTTAAACATATGTAATTGTTAATTATTTGTTGAGAGCTTTAATTTAAAAAAAAAAAGAAGCAATTCGGTTCAATAGAAGCCGAGATAACGTTATTTTTTCCAGTGCGCTTCATTTTGAAAAGTCAATTTCAAGTTTTTCGAGCGGCCGGAACAGCTCGCCTCGGCCTTCCCCCACTCCGCTACCCATGCGAGTGTATGACAGAGTCAGAATGTTTTGTTAGTTAATAATATTATCGTTGCAAAAATAACGGTGATTGATAGTTGCATTCGTTTACATATAAAAGTTCAACATTTCGTTCGAATGTATACCAAATTTCAGCTTTTAATGTTTATAAACAAAGGCGTGGTGATTTTTTAAAAAAAAAAGCCTAACTTCGTTTCCAATATAGTTAAAGAGGTCAATTTTTTTTTAAAATTTGCGTAAAAATGCAAGGAACAAGATGCCGAAATTCGATTTGACTTACGACTTCTGGTTCGGCAGATAAGTCAATTTGTTTATAAGAATTTTCGTACACATTTATATCTGGTGTTTATTTTTCATGTCTTTATGAAAAAATTATTGTTTTTATTGTTGCAAATTGACTGGGAGGTCTCTACCTTTAATTTGCGCTGTGTCTGGTCTTCGTACGTTGAGCCAACTCAAAGTTATTTAACAATCACTAGGGGAGTGTTTTTTAATAAACAAATGCAATATCTCGATAAATAATGCACTTAGCGAGATTTTGAAAAATGCATTGGATTCTGCGTAACGAGGGCTACATTTTCTCAAGATTTCATTGCCGTAGCACGTTTTAATAAATAATTATAAACAATTGTAAAAACGGCCACTTTTAGAGGTTTTTTCGACCTAGAGAATAAACAAATGGACGAAAAAATATGAAAAAAATACCAGAATAAAGGTCTTGAAAATGCCTACAACTTTTGTTTGAAACATTTTATCGTAAAACTTATACTTTACGAGTTAAAAAATATAATATGCTTTTTTGCATTTTTAAAGGCTTATAAACAAAAACGCAGGAACAAAAAACAGTGGCATTTTATGAAAATTAGTTGTTTAGGGTACCCAAAATAAGAATCCGTCGTAAAATTCTGGTTGCGAATTTTTTTTTTCAAAACCTTTATTGATTGGACTATATTAATTGCATCGTATTCTATTACACAGAGCGTGGATGTAACGCGACGTTTTGGAACGCGCTGAATTGACTGATGGTTGATATGTAATTTTTCTATCGAATGCATCATGCTAAACATGGCATGTGAATTTAGAGCCATGGCTACTTTTAAGAACGTCACATTTTTTTTAATTTCAATTTTTCTACAGAGTCAAGCTTATATTATGCTAAGGTAATGTTTAGATAAATGACATTTTTTCTTTGATGATCATGTGCTCATCGATAGGAAAATAAAAACTCAATTGTTTTATTTATTCATTTGATCAAGAAAAGTAAAAAAGATAAAGATTCTTTACGTGATTAGGCATTCGTAATATTCTGTATTTTCTGGGTTTTGCATTTGTATAATGTTAATCGAAATCCTATGAATTGTTTTACTGATGTATAATCAATTGTACTAGCGATAAAAATATTTTATTTTTAAATAATAAATTCAAATTCAATACATTGTTGAAATTAAATACATATATGTAGGTAAAATCTTTCTAACATTCTTCAGTCAGACGCAAATTTTTCAATTTCTCGAATTCGTCGACTAGAAAAAATAAAAAAAAATATTGAGTCAGTGGAAAAATTATCAAGAGTAAAACAAATATGAAAATTCCATTACCATGAACATCGTGTGTTTGATTCTGCTGTTTTAACATCACCTCGGATGCGGTGCACATCATCAGCACATCGTCGTTCGAGAGCATATTCATTATTTTTTCACAGCAGAGAATTGGCAGACGATAGTGCGTCATCATCAACAAAAACTCCAGCCCCCATAATCGGAAAAATCTCCTTGACATTACCATGGATTTGTGCTTGTCACAGGACGGTACTCTTGACTCACCATCATTCTTGCATGCCTCACAGTGTCTGTTATCATCATCCTTTCCACAATATAATTCCCATAGTGTGCGAATCGTTCCGATGCGATGGCAGAATTTGATTATTATCAGGGCGTCGTTCAGACCAATTTCAAACCCTTTTTTCTTCAAGCACTCGACAATGACAAGCGGTTCAGAGGCCAAGTCCTGCACAATATGTCCAGTGTCGTTTTCACCGTAACGTCGATACGGCACGGCAAAGTAAGTCTCGTTGGGAAAAACGAATTTCGTCAGATCGGCACCGCGTTCCAACAGAATAACAACTACGGCCGTTAAAAGATTCGCCACGGCCCATTGGAGCGGTGTCCGGCCCAACTTGTCCACAGCGTCGATATGCACCGTTTGATGCTTTTCGTCGTTGACCTCGAAGAATATTTCGGCCAATTCAGCGTATCGGAATCGTCGTAACCAATCGGACATGCAAATAATGTGCAGAGGAGTCGATCCATCCGCATTCGGAAAATTGGGATTTACGCCTTTTCTCAGCAGCGTCGCGGTCCTCCCCTTCTTGCCGTGAAGCAGAGCATAATGTAGCGATGTCTGACCCCACTCGTCCACCCCGTCGAACTGCTCAAACCGATGTTGTTTTTTATCGCTGTATTTTCTGAGAGTCGCTAACGAGCAATTGGTTTTGGAAAAAATGTCCACGGGAGCCAATTCCCTACTGTTAGCCAAATGAGGATTGGCGCCGCTTCGCAGTAGCAACTCGACCACATCTTTGTGCTTGTTAGCCAGAGCCAGGTGTAACGGCGAGTCATCCGTTTTATGCCAGATGCAATTGGGATCTTGACCGAGCTCGAGGAATTTCTCGACAATTTCAAGACAGCCAAATTGACAGGCCGCGTGAAAATGCGTCAATCCAGATTTGTCGGTGTAATTGACGTCGAACCTGTCGTATATTTGAAAAAGATCAGGCACGACGTGACGATTAAATAATACATGATGCACTGCATGATGCACTGGTGTAGTGCGAAATACCGGTGGCTTGCCATCTTTATCCAACTTCGGCTCGTCCTTGTAGCCGGTGCGAGCCACGAACTTGATAAACTGACTTTCTTGGATATTCGAGAGAAACAGATCCATCTGTTCGCTACGAAAAATATCTCGAAAATCTGGAAGCGGGCCCTGCCACTTTCTGATCAAAGAATATAGTTCGTCGAAATTTTCGCATTGATCTCCCACCGTGTAGATAATCGGTTCTCGAATAGTCGTGATAACCTTGCAGTTGATTTTATCTCGCATAGTTTTCAATATTCTTAAACAGTTTTGATTGTTCTCGGCCATTTTTTCACACACTTGCAAAACACAAAAATTATGTCTAATTATCTTTCTCACGAAAGTCACTTTTTGTACAGTCTGATTTTTCTTTGTTGTTCACGCCGTGGCGTCGTAACGTGTACTGTCTATACTGATCCGTGAACGACTCGACTTGCGGCACTGTATACTGCTGATCGCGAGCCGTACTCATGCACTATACTATATTATACTATAGGCCCGCCACGTCCTCAAGGAGAATCGAGTCTCGCACGACACGGTCACGCACCCAAGCAAAAATGTAAACATATCGAATGACACAAAGCGAGATATAATACTGTACATGACTTGCAATGAGTAGAGCATTGTACACGCAGGAGTATTATTTATTGTTTGTAGAATTTATTGTTTGCCGAATATTGCGTCAGCCTCAAGAAAGTTTCCAGTGTCCAACGGCGCAAAAATCTTCTCGCTATTATCTCACTAAGATACGCATTACACATATTTTTATAATTATTCGAGTCTTGTCGAGCTCGCGTTTGAAAAATGAGCTTAGCGAGGAGCCAAGTATGGCTTTGATGATGGATGACCGTGACGCGTGATCGACGTTATATATAGCTGCGCCGCTCGCGAATACGAAGGAGGAAGGGAGAGAGTTAATATTCGATACATATCGAATCGTTCGGGCTCTCGTTTAAAATAATAAAATATTAAATATTTAAAATTGTGAAATGTTAAAATAGGAAGTATTTAAATGTCTATAATAGCCAATTGAGAGATGTACAAACAAATGCTATCGAATGATTTCAATGAAACATGAAGTGATCAAATGCAAAGTAGGTTTTATTTCAACGTATTAATGATAAAAATAAACAATTGACAATAAGTTTGAGCAGCAGATATGTAGACCAAAATTTATCGAACGATTCAAAAATTTGTACATTTTTTCTGTTACATAATTTTTCTTTTTGATTAAACGTTTTTCATAACTTATGTCGGTACTTGTATTATAATTCGAAACTTCCTTTATTTTATTTCTATACTAGATTTAATTACCAACGAATATAAGTTCGAGTCGAATACGATTTTAGTTGAAAAAAATCTTTAGTCATTCAATTAACAAAGAATACGCTACACAGAGGTATAATATAATTGATATATATAATTGATTTTGGGAGGCTGGTCAAAATAATTTAAGATTTTCTGATAAACAGTTACTTGGAAAAAAAATTCAGCTATTAAATAGGATGTTGAAAGTTCGTTTTTTGAAAACAACGGTATTTCAAAGAACAAATTCACGCGAAACCGTATTGATATTTTAATTCGTGTTTGAAAGAATAAAAAATTTTTACAGTGACGACCAAATCGACGTGCCAGGGCTGAAAGATGCCGCTTCGGCATTCGGTATTTCTGCGTTTGAAGCTTCAACTTTAACTATTATTTTCATTCCAGCGTCAGATTCTGGAATAGCATCCAATTTTACTTCTAAAACATGAAACATGAATATGGTGTAACTTCGAACGTAGAAAAAACCATCCTTCAGAATCGAGCGGGAAATGGCATCTTTCTACCCGGAGCGCGACATGGCATTTTTCTTGTCAGCTCAGTGAAGTGGCATCTTTCAGCACTGGCACGTCGAAATGAATAACAGTTTAAAAAACTTCATTGTTCATGACAATGGTTGTCTAAAATTACATAGCGTATATTTAAAATAAATTCCATATTTCTAAGATTTGCTTTCCATATGTACTGCATTAATGTGATTTTCGAGACTTTTCTTGGTACTCAATGACTTGTGACAAGTCTTACATTCAAATTTTCTCCGTTCATGAGTTGATTTTAAGTGATATTTGAGTACACTCTTGTATCCAAATGATTCGTGACAAATAGCACACTCAAAAGGTTTCCTACTCATATGTACTGCACTCATATGAATTTCGAAGCTGATTTTGTATTTAAATGATTTGTGACAAGTATCACACTCAAAGGGTTTGCTCTGATTATGTACTGAATTTATGTGAAATGTGAGGCTACTTTTTACTGAAAATGATTTTTGACAAATGTCACACTCAAAGGGTTTCCTCCGCAAATGTACTGCACTCGTGTGAAATTTGAGGCTGTGTTTTTGTCCAAATGATTTGTGACAAATCTCACACTCAAAAGGTTTGCTCTGATTATGTACTGCCCTTATATGTATTTCAAGGTTACTTTTTAGTCCAAATGCTTTGTGACAAATCTCACACTCAAAAGGTTTGCTACGATCGTGTACTGTCCTTGTATGTTTATTTAGAACACCCTTGTATGAAAATGATTTGTGACAAATGTTACACTGGAAGGGTTTGTTTTTATCATGTACTTGATTCACGTGCCTTTTAAGATTAGATAGGTATCTAAACGATTTGTGACAAATCTCACACTCAAAAGGTTTGCTACGATCGTGTACTGTGCTTGTATGTCTATTTAGATCACTCTTGTATGAAAATGATTTGTGACATATGTTACACTGGAAGGGTTTGTTTTTATCATGTACTTGATTCACGTGCCTTTTAAGAGTAGATGGGTATCTAAACGATTTGTGACAAATTTCACATTCAAGTGGTCTACTGCCCTTGTGTGTCGTTTTCATTTGTCGGGCTGAAGTCGCTTCTTCTCTGGTAAATTTACGATTACTATCGTAATTGAATTCTTTTTTAATTAAAATTGTAAGCTTCTTTCCATTCGAGTCATTTGCTGGATTTTCTTCCTTTACAGTAGGTTGGCAGATGGTCGTCAATGAGGGCTTATGTTCCTGTTTTACCAATACGCTCTCGCAATCTATCAGAATATCCTCATCTTCCTTCTGCTGCGACGAAATACAGTCATTGGTGGGATTTGCCTAAAATTAAAATTGTGTTATAGTTTTTTATGGAGCATATCAGAACGTAATTTCAAAAGATAGATTTTACCGATGATTCATTCGTCGATGGTTCATCAGAGTTTTCGGTTTTGCAAAGTTCTAATTCATGTGATCCATCGTCCTCATTCGTCGTTTCTATTTGTCTTGTTAAACTCGATTCTTCTCCCATCGTAAATTGACTGTTATTATCGCAATCGGATCCTTTTTTATTGAAAATTGTAAGCCTTTTTCCACTCGAGTCATTTGCTGGATCTTCTTCCTTTACAGTAGGTTGGCAGATGGTCGTCAATGAGGGCTTATGTTCCTGTTTTACCAATACGCTCTCGCAATCTATCAGAATATCCTCATCTTCCTTCTGCTGCGACGAAATACAGTCATTGGTGGGATTTGCCTGAAATTAAAATTATGTTATAGTTTTTTTATAGAGCAAATCAGAACATAATTTCAAAAGATAGATCTTACCGATGATTCATCAGAGTTTTCGGTTTTGACCAAGACCCCCGGATCGACACTCTCGTTGGTAACATCTTCCCAATTGTCACGAGGCTCCTCTTTAATGCTAAAAAAACGATCGTTTAAAAATATATCTTTGGCAAGCATGAAAAAGTGTATACCTAACTAAATCCTTTCTGCTTTCCATCGCTTCGTTACTATAATTTATCTTGAAATTATTCAAAATTAGATGCCTCGAGTAGCCAACACCGTATCTTATTTTCACCAACAAACGTGTACGGATATTATTTGTAAACACTTCTTACAGCAGGAAACGATTAATAGCGACTGAGCGTAGACAGTTTTGTACAACGATGAGTTGTACACCAACTCGGTAAGAAACCAATCGATACTAACTCGCATAGATAGATAACACTAGCCGTTCTATGCTCTTTTTGATACGAATGATACCAATATTCTCGGATCAAAGCAAACTTCTAGCATTCCGAATACGTGAATAGTTTTTCCGCCTCTTTTTTAAAATTCGAGACTCGAGACTCGATTTGCAGCATAAATGAGCTTAGACTTGCGCACGTGTGTAGTATACGCCATACCAATTTATGAAGAGGAATGATTCTCATTTTCCTCATAAATAAATATCATTACAAGGAGTAGTGAGAGATATATAATATTGGGTGGGGAAAATTTGAAAGTAAGTGCCGCTACGAAAATCAATTTCTTCCTCTCTTTGATTTCTTATTTCGCGAGCTACGATGCATTACAATTAGCGCGAAATGTAATATTGATACTATTTAATACTGTTGAAGTGATGTACGATCGAATCAACGGAATAATGAGCCGAGTCAATATTTTTTAAAACAATTATCTAAATCCGACCCATTGTTTTAATCCTATATTTTAGAAGGAGTTATTCATTTCATTAATAATGTTTACATTTTAAAATCTTTTTGCTTTCTCAAAAATGTGTGTGCATTGGGTTTTTACAATATTTAATTCTTTTAATTATTGTTCAAGATTAAAAGTTTCAAAAAATCGAATAACCTAAAATTACATTGACTTTTTATTCATTTTCTCAATTATAAGTGTGACAACTCCATCGTTTGTTTCGTTTTTAATTGAACCAAAAAAGCATATCTTCGATGTTTTAGCAAAAATATCTGTTTTTCAAATTCTTTAGGACCACCTTAAATTAACGCCGAAAAAAACTGATTCAAACTTAGTGTATATCATAATAAAATTCGAAAACAATGTATAGATGAGCGTTTGAAACTTTTATGTTAAGCTTAATTTTATTTGATACACCATTAAATAATAACCATAAAAAGTTATGAATCAATAAAATAATTTTTTTATTAAAGAGTCTGAATGAAAAAGAAAATAAACTTTGCGAACTGTATCAAGTATTATTTCGTATGAATAGTTATACCGTAATAATTATCGCCACTGTAATAAACATTAAAATCGTAATACTGCATTATCGTTTTGAAAAAAAATCCAGAGGTTTTGAGTAAAGAGCATTAATTATTCTTTTCATGATAGTCATTGAATTGCAAAATATAATCGATAAACTTTGAGAATAAGAACAAAAAATAGATGAAACACTGAACTGAACGACTCATGGTAATACAAATAAATAAAAACTATCACAAAAATAAATATTTCAATTTTTCGTTAGCGAGGCTGTAATTTAATGATTTCATAAATCAAAGTCTGTATTAATTTTTTTCAATTATTAATTTATTTTGACATGGAAAATCTGCAATCATCACATAAGACATTGTGTAAATATCAAAAGTATGCTATTCTCACAGATTAGTTTTATTGTAACATTCTCATTGTTAAAAACTTAAGACTTTAGAAAATCATCTGACAGTCAACAACAACAAAATTTATTTGCTATTAGTGTTTATAATCATGTTTTTTTTTGCATTTTGTAGTGCTTACATGCGCACGTCTTGCATCGAAAGCTTTATGGCATATATAATTTGTCTATCGAATGCATCATGCTAAACATGTTATGTGAATTTAAAGCCATGGCTACTTTTAAGAACGTCACATTTTTTTTAATTTCAATTTTTCTACAGAGTCAAGCTTATATCATGCTAAGGTAATGTGTAGATAAATGACATTTTTTTCTTTGATGATCGTGTGCTCATCGATAGGAAAATAAAAACTCAATTGTTTTATTTATTCATTTGATCAAGAAAAATAGAAAAGGTAAAGACTCTTTACGTGATTAGGCATTTGTAATATTCTGTATTTTCTGGGTTTTGCATTTGTATAATGTTAATCGAAATCCTATAAATTGTTTTACTGATGTATAATCAATTGTACTATCGATAAAAATATTTTATTTTTAAATAATAAATTCAAATTCAATACATTGTTTAAATTAAATGCATATGAAGGTGAAAGATTTCTAACATTCTTCAGTCAGACGCAAATTTTTCAATGTCTCGACCTCGTCGACTAGAAAAAAAAAAAAATAAAAAACGTTGAGTCAGTGGAAAAATTATTAAGAGTAAAATAAATATGAAAATTCCATTACCATGAACATCGTGTGTTTGATTCTGCTGTTTTAACATCACCTCGGATGCGGTGCGCATCATCAGCACATCGTCGTTCGAGAGCATACCCATTATTTTTTCACAGCAGAGAATTGGCAGCTGATAGTGCGTCATCATCAACAAAAACTCCAGCCCCCATAATCGGAAAAATCTCCTTGACATTACCATGGATTTGTGCTTGTCACAGGACGGTACTCTTGACTCACCATCATTCTTGCATGCCTCATAGTGTCTGTTATCATCATCCTTTCCACATAATACTTCCATTGCACGAGCTGTGATGCATGATAATAAGATTGTATATTACAAAAACATTTTATCGAATGATTTCAATGAAACATAAAATGCCCAAATGAAAAGTAGGTTTTATTTCAACTTATTAATGATAAATAAACAATTAAAAATAAGTTTGAGCAGCAGATATGTATACCAAAATTGATCGATTTATTGGAAATTATTTAATTTTTTCTGATACATAATTTTTCTTTTTGATTAAACGTTTTTCATCATTTATGTCGATAGTTATAATATATTTCGAAACTTGGTTTATTTTATTTCCATGTAACACATTTGTAATTGATATATTATGGTGACCACGCACACAAACAAAAATATTTAAACTTTATAAACTGAAGAATTAATTGCTGGACTCCTTGACGTTCTTGCCAATAAAATAATAACCGTTAGTTATATAATCTCCTGCGAGTACAATTAATATCTCCAGATAGGCATAGGTATAATAAATCCTCTCCAGCATCTTGATTATTATTTTACAGCAGAGAATTGGAAGCTGATAGTGCGTTAGCTCCAAGAAAAATTCTACTGCCCACCGCTCGAAAAATCCTCTCATTACTTTTTCGCGCAAGTGCCTCAAACAATCATCACGATATTTAACGGGGATCACCCAATATTCGTCTTTGAGCTCGAAGTAATCTGTATATGTTAGTAGTTCCACCGCATCTTCAGGACTTGAACGAATAACATCGTAAAGTGACATCTTCGGACTTATCATCTGTTTTTTCGCTGTTCTCGCGAAGTCTTCGTCTATACGCAAATATTTGTCAAGGTCCATCCAAGACTTATGAAACAATCCGATCGGGCGATTAGCAAATGATTTGATGATCGTCAAGATGCCATTGCGGTCCAGCTCGTATCCTCTTTTTTCGAGAAGCTCGACGACGGCCAGTGGGCCACATGCTATTGGCAGCTGTAAAACTGTCCAAGAATCTTCTTCTCTTTTATAGGGGTCATATATATCGCCGAAGTAACTTTCATCGGGTAAAACAAAGCTTGAAAGATCAGCACCATGATCCAAAAGCACGTTGATAATATCCGGCCTAAGATTCGCCACGGCCCAGTGCAACGGTGTACGGCTCAAATTGTCCCGGGCATCGACCTGCACAGTCTGCTTGGTGTCGTCGTTTATGTCGAAATAAAATTTCGCCAATTTATCAGCGTCTTCGTCTGATCTCTTGCAAATAAAATGCAGAGGAGTCGATCCATCGTTGCTGGCTACATTTGGACTGGCGCCTTTCCTCAGAAGAAATTCCATTGAGGTTTTGAAGCCGTATCGCGCACAGATGTGTAGCGGCGTGCAACCTGAGTTATCCTGGACATCGAGTTGAACCGTTTGCTGGATGTCGTAGTTGATCTCTAAGAGAACCTCTCTTAAATTTCGATAGCTATATGTTAAGCAAATATTGTGCAGAAGTTTCAGTCCCTTTGCATTGGTTAAATTAGGATCGGCTCCGCGTGTCAACAGCAATCGTACTATGTCCAGGTGACGGCTTTCTAAAGCTAAGTGTAGTGGCGGATCGACTGATTTTTGCTCGAGGCAATTGGGATCCTGGCCGAGCTCGAGGAATTTCTCCACAATTTCAAGACAGCCCAATTTGCAGGCTAAGTGAAAATGTGTTAATCCAGATTCGTTGGAGTAATTCACGTCAAACCTGTTGTAAATTTTAAATAGATCATCGAGGTCAGAATAGTACCCGAATTCAGCCGCATGATGCACTGCAGTGGTGCGACGCAACACAGGTTTGCCGTCTTTATCTATGTCGGGCTCGTCGGTGTAGCCTATCCTAATCGCAAAGGTGATTAATGACGTTGATTTTTTGGCATCCATAATTGTTCTGTACTTCAAATCTTGCGCGAAAAACCAATCCATTTCTTCATTTCGAAAAGTGTCTCGGAAATTTGGAAGTTGGCCTTTCCAATCTATGATTAAGAGATAAAGTTCATGGAGAAGATCGTGTCGGGCTTTTTCGATCTTCCGATTGGACTCTTCTTGCACAGCTTTCAATTTTTTCAAACATTTTTTATCGTCTTTTGACATTTTTTTACACACTCGCACAAACACAATCACTTATAAAATGTACCAAGTTGAATAATTCTCACTCGAATCACTAGCTACGGTCGATATCGCGATCTTTCTTTGTTTTACTCTGCGACGTCGTGTATTGAACTGAACGACTCGACATGCGACGAGGCACTGCCTGCAAAGCCAACTGGACTGCGCGGCGTCCTCTAACCGCCACATTTTTGCAGTGAAGGCGAGTCGAGTCTCGCGCCCGAGCAAAATTGTAAACATATCGCATGACACGAAGCGAGACGCGACGTTTTGGAACGCACTGGCCCAATGCTTTATATACATTACTTCGCTATAGAACTTGACTTTTGGTCATTACAGAATGCAAGCAGTTAATTTTTTTTGGGTCCTTATTACGCAAATCCATCATAAAATTTTATAATTTTATATTTTATAACTATATGAAGAGAAGGTTTTATAACTGAAATGAAAGATTAAATAAATGTATGCAGGGCGATTGATTTAAGTACGTGATAAGGTTGACGAAGAAATTCTCATCGCTCTTCTTCGAATTCGCAAGTAAACTTTTTTCGTATAGTTTTCAGTATTGTTAAACAGTCTCGGTCTTGTATGGCCATCGTGATACATACTTAAACAACAAAATCGTTTATAATTTACAAAATGAATATTTCTTATTAGAATAACTTGTTGCGATCAAAGTAATATTTCTTGGTTTATGCTGTAATGTAGAAAGGCGTACTAATCTGCATTCTGCAACAACTATAGATAATATATCCATGCGACACTGTATACTACAAGCAGTCCTCATTTCATTCACATTATGCTCGAAACGATTCGAGTGAGTCACACCTCTGAGCAATACTGAAACTTGACCCACTAAGCAGAGCGAGATGTGAAGTTTTGCAGCAAACGACTGACCTACGCTTGATATTATTTTGCCAACGGAGTTCATTATAAGCTTATCGTGGCATTTGTCTTTAGATTTAATAACGTTAGTATAGGTACTGCTTAGAGCGTCAACGTTTTTTTAAATTTCAATTATTTCACATTTCAAGAACTGCGATCCAATAGAAATTGCACGATTTCAACCAAAACTTCGCAAAGTGTGCTGCATGATTATCTATACAGTCTAATGGGTTAGATAAAATGTATCATAAAATGTATATAATAATGATAAATTGTATTATATAATGATCAAATGAAGAAAAAAAAAGTTTTTTCTCAATTATCTCAATTTTATTTTTCAAATTCAATACATTTGTTCAATTCTGTACACTCGAGTGTACAATTTAAACGCTACTAATTTTATTTATATGTACTGTAATTTTTATTTGATACATAATGATAATTAGCATGATAATACAAATAGACCAACATTATCATTGAAAAATAATAATGAAATTCCGTGACGTCCTTGCCTAGAAAACAAAAATAAATAAAAAAGTTTAAAAATCTTGAGAAACAATACTAACACTCAGAATAAAATAAAAATACCTCTGCCAATGACATCACGCGTTGTTGCTTCCTTCTTTCACCGCGATTTCCGCCGCCTGGCACACTCTCATCAGATCCTCGTTTTCCAGCAGATCCAAGATCATGTCGCAGCACTCGATCGGCAGCCGCCGCCTGCCCCGCCTCTCGTTCACCATCTCCACGAAAGAATCCAGCGCCCATCGTTGGAAAAATTCCCTCTCCATCTTGTCGGCCAGGTAGCGTTCGCACTTGTCGCCGTATCTGCCCGTCAACCGCGACAATCCGTTCGAGTTCACGAACGACAAGAAGTCCGCGACGGTCGGCAGTAACTTTTCCGCGCGTCGCAGTCGAACGAAGTCGTAGAGCGACAGGCTCGAGTTCACCCGCAGTTCTCTCGCTTCGCTCGCGAATCTCTCGGAGCCGAGCAAAGAATCGAGGCTCACCGATTTCTCGCGCGAAGTGTCCTCGAGGAATATTCGCATGACCGCGAGGGCGTCTCGGCGCAGCGGTTCGTAGCCTCGTTTTTCCAGGTGCTCGACGACGGCCAGATTGTGAAGGACGAGTTTTAACTTGGACAGATGCACTCGGAGCCATTTGCACTCGTCGAAGTGTGCCTCGCTGGGATAAACGAAGCTCGATACATCGGCGCCGTGCTTCAGAAGCACGTCGACCAAATCGGGCGAAAAGTTCGCCACGGCCCACTGCAGCGGCGTCCGGCCCTTCTTGTCCCTCGCGTCCACCAGCACCTTAAGATTCTTTTCCTCCCCGATCTCGAAGAGCAACTCGGCCAATCGATCGCCGCTGCCTTTGGTGCAGATCGAGTGCAGCAAGGTCAGTCCCTCGGCGTCGGTAATGTTGGGATCGGCGCCGTTCCTCAGCAGCACCTCCAGCACCTTGGCGTTGTCGCGCTCCACGGCTCGCTGAAGGGGCGTCCTACCCAACTCGTCCCTAGAGTCGATCCCCACCGATCGATCGACTTTCTCGACGATCTCGAGGAACCGTTTCAAGAACGTCGCCACCTCGTCGTCCGGGCCTCGCGCGCAGATCAAATGCACGCAATTCGAGCCGTTTCTCTCGACCAGACTCGGCCCGGCGCCTTGTCTCAGCAGCAATTCGGTCACCTTCTCGTGCTTGTTCTCCAGAGCCAATTGCAGCGGCCTGTCGCCCCATCGACTTTGGGCCTCGACGTCGACCCGCTTTCGCTTCTCGTCGTTGATCTCGAAAAATAGCTCCACCATGCCGTCGTCGTCGTGTTTTCTCCCGCAGATCATGTGCAGAGCCGTCCAGCCGTTCTCGTCGGCCAATGTCGGATCGGCGCCGCCTCGCAGCAGCAATTCCATCGTCCTCTCGTGGCCGCGGGCTATGGCCAGAAACAGCGGCGGATCGACCGATTCTCGAGGTATAAGACAGTCGGGATCTTGACCAGACTCGAGAAATTTCTCGACGACGTCGTCGCAGCCGTACGCGCAAGCCGCGTGAAAGTGAGTGAATCCCGACTCGTCCCTGTAATTCGCGTGGAATCCGCTGTAAATTTTGAAGAGCTTCGAGATCGCCTCGCCGTCGCCGTTTCTGGCCGCGTGATGCACCGCTGTGGTGAGACGCGTCGACGTTGGCTCGCCGTTTTTATCCACCTCGGGCTCGTCCTCGTAGCCGGTCCTGATCGCGAAGTCGATGAAATAGTGTCTGCCTCTGTGCACGTCCTCCGAGAGGAGCCAATCGATTTCCTCGGGACGAAAGATGTCTCGTAGATCGGGAAGTAAACTCTTCCATCTTCTAACCAAGCGATGAAGTTGACGGTGAAATTCGCGACGCTCCTCTTTGGCCAGCCGGTCGATCTGTTTGTCTTGCATTAAGCTCTTTAATTTTTTCAAATTCTCTCGACACGTCGCGGGATCGTCGCCTTCGGCGTCGCTCTCGTCGCTCTCGTAATCGGTGGTATCACTGCTGTCACTGGAATAATCTTCATATTCGTACATCGTTCGGCACAATCACCCACGAAAAAAAAACACACAGCTTATTAAAAACCGAATTAATTTTTCACTCGAGAATCACTGGCTGCAACGGTCGATATTTATCTCACTTTGTTTCTCTCACTCGTGAACCGAACTACTCGACGTGCGGCGCGGCACTGATCTCACCGCGAGTGTATGAGCCGACTGTATGCCGAGCCTCGTATAGTCGCATGCCAGCCACGTATTCTCAAGACGAGATAAGTCCCGTGTCCGAGCGATCGTGTAAACATATCGTGTGACCCACAGCGAGACGCCAAGTGTTGCGGAGCAACAGACTGACGCTTAGTATTATTTTGATACGCGGAGTACATTAGGGTTACTGAACCTATTTTAGCTCAATAATAAATGTTAGCGATTTAATTGTACACAAAAAAAATTGAAAAAAAAAATGGTTGTATCAACCGAACACGTGAAAAAAGCTAATATTTAAACACACGTACTTAATAAATAATGTAATTAGTTACTGCTAAAATCATACAATTTTCAATTTATTCACAATGCGAGTCACGATGCATTACGATTAGTGCAATTTTCTAAAATCGAATAAATGACAGTTTTGTTTTTATAGCAATATTATGGTTACGATTTTACAAAATAGTTTTTCAACTTTTAATCCATTTCTCTAATTCTACATATACTTGATTGTAAAATTATTCATTTACTCTATTTTTATTTTATACGTTTTTAATTTCCTACGTAATTATAATCATGCATACCGCAACGTACACAGCTATAACATTCTAAAATACTTTCATGTAAGAATATATCAAATCATCACACGACAATAAAAATTTGTCTACGTGATATTTGAGAAAGGGAAAAAATAACAGTTTACATTTCTTGAAACCGAGTATAAGCGGGCAATGTAAGCACATACGTTGCACGGAAATTATATCGGATCGCGGCTGCATCGTAAAAAGTCTGACCGAAGCTTGAATCCTGCACAATGATAAAGAGTAGCAGCGATGATGTATACGCGAGCTCAAACGAGTTCGTTAAAAGAAAATCATTTGTACCACACGAGCTATAATTGAGAAAACGGAGCTAGTGTAATAAGAGAAGATATCTGGAGTTGGACGATCATAAAAAACACTCTCTCGAGGCAATTTTTGTCTAACATGTACGTGAACTCACACCTCGTGCGGTCCATTCACTAACAAAGTATAAGCAGGCCTAGATTTTGATCATCGGCCTACTTTCTCCTTTCGCACTTCTGTTCAGGAAAGTTTAAAAAAATTAATAAATTAAAAAAATTACAGGTATATTTTTTGATTGCGATCAAAATTTTTATTCTTCTTATTTAATTATTGTATAATTCATATAGAATTTTACAATGTGTCAGAAAAACATAATTTTATTGTTGATAAGTTCTACTTTTTATAAGTAAATAATAGATGAACTATTTACAATATAAGATTTATCATTATTTAAAAAATAAAAACATTTCAACTACAGCTAGAAATATAGTTTAATATAGCATATATTTTTGAAAAAAATATAAGTCAAAAGGAAAGATATTCATAAGCAAACTGTAAAGAGCTTCTGCAGACTGAAATAGTATACTAATATTAATATGTTCGAATCACCGAATCTCAATGAGAAATCCGTTTTTTTATTTCACAAAATGAAGTAATAAGACTCAAAATATTCAACAAATAAACTGCATCTATATGCCTCATCAGATTACATTTTTAATATTTTTATGAACTGTGTTAATATGTCTATTCAAGTTACTTATATGACCGAAAGATTTTTCACATTCTCCACAAATGTGTTCTTTGAAGCTCACATAAACTGAATTTATGTGCATCGTCAGATCACTTTTTTGTCCGAAAGACTTGCCTCACTCTTCGCATTTTTCATCTTTTACCCATTCATGAACTGAAGAAATGTGTCTATTCAAAATACTTTTTTCACCAAAAGACTTTTGACATTCTCCGCGCTTGTGTTCTTTGAGTTTCAAATGAACTAAATCTATGTGCCTCATCAGATTACGCTTATATCCAAAAAACTTTTCGCACTCTCCACACTTGTGTTCTTTGATTTTTTCATGAACTGTAGCAATGTGTGTATGCAACTTTATTTTTTTAATGAAAGACTTGCTACATTCATTGCATTTATCACTAAAAAACTTTCCACACTCTTCACATTCATAATCTTTGATTTTCAAATGAACTGCATCTATGTGCTTCGTCAGATGACCCGTATGTGCAAAAGATTTGCCACACTCTCTGCATTTGTGTTCTTTTAGTTTCAGATGAACTGTATCAATGTGCATCATTAAACCATGCTTTGTTCCAAAAGACTTGCCACACTCTCCGCATTGGTGATCTTTGGTTTTTTCATGAACTAGGGCAGTGTGTCTATTCAATTCACATTTATAACTAAAAGACTTTCCACACTCTTCACATCTGTGATTTTTGTTTTTTTCATGTACTGTGGTAATGTGTCTACGTAAGTTACTTTTCTGGCCAAAAGACTTTCCACATTCCTCACACATGTGTTCTTTGAGTTCCAGATGAACTGTATCAATGTGCTTCATCAGATCACTTTTAAAACCAAAAGACTTTCCACACTCTCCGCATTTTTGATCTTTTATTTTCAAATGAACTATATCAATGTGCTTCATTAAAGTCTGCTTTTGACCAAAAGACTTTCCACATTCCTCACACATGTGTTCTTTGAGTTCTAGATGTACTGTATCAATGTGCTTCATTAAATCATGCTTTTTTGCAAAGGACTTGCCACACTCTCCGCATTGGTGATCTTTAATTTTTTCATGAACTATTGCAATATGCTCAGCCAAGCTTTTCTCATAACCGAAAACTTTTCCACACGTGTCGCACGAGTAATTTTTGATTCTTTGATGGACATTCATAACGTGATCATTCAAACTTTTTTTCGTGACAAAAGACTGTCCACAATCGTCGCAAACAAATTTCTTTAGTTTCAAATGAACTCCATCCACGTGATTGTCCAAATTACTTTTAGTTAGTAAAAGCTTACCGCAATAATCGCATTTGTGACGTATTTTGGTATTTTGATTTTTAAGCTTATGTTCTTCTAAAGCTGACATTGTAAAAATCTCTCAACTTTTCACTTATAAATTAAAACATCTATCTACTCGTACTATCATTTCTCTACTGTTCTCATTTCAAATGTTTACTTTGTATGAGTTATTGCCGTCAAGATTTTGTTGATGCCGAAACTAATGTATCGGTTCATAACATCATGAAAGTTAATTTATGTTTATTCGAACTTTCACTTTAAACCCAGAAGAGTAATTTTCGAACCTCAAAAGAGTGAACTGTGTTATTTACTCTTTTAAAAAGAGTAAATGACTACCAAAGTAAAATGGCTACCAAATGACTAGTAGATAACTAACAAAGTATAGGCAGGCCTAGATTTTGATCATCGGCCTACTTTCTCTCTTCGCACCGATGCTCAAGCAAGTTTAAAAAAAAATTAATAAATTCAAAAAATTACAGGTATATTTTTTGATTGCGATCAAAACTTTTATTCTTCTTTTTTAATTATTGTATAATTGATATAGAATTTTACAATGTGTCAGAAAAACATAATTTTATTGTTGATAAGTTCTACTTTTTATGAGTAAATAATAGATGAACTATTTAAAATATAAGATTTATCATTATTTAAAAAATGAAAACATTTCAACTACAGCTATAAATATAGTTTAATATAGCATATATTTTTGAAAAAAATATAAGTCAAAAGGAAAGATATTTATAAGCAAACTGTAAAGAGCATCTGCAGACTGAAATAGTAAATTAATATTAATATAAATATGTTCGAGTCACCGAATCTCAATGAAAAGTCCGGTTTTTTATTTCACAATATGAAGTAATAAGACTTAAAATATTCAGTATCAAAATGAATAAATCATTAAGGCAAATTATCATTAATTTTTTATCAGAAATCGCAAAGTATATGATCTTGAACACAGTGGCATTTTAGGAGTATACAAACTGCTTAAGATTGATAAAACATGATACATTCTTTGGATCACCAGTTTAATGGGCTGCATTCGTCTATTTTTAAAGTCCCTATTACGATTGTAAACTTTTCCACATTCTGAACGCATGACTTCTCTAAGCTACAAATAAACTGCATCTATATGCCTCGTCAGATTACATTTTTAATATTTTTATGAACCGTGTTAACATGTCTATTCAAGTTACTTATAAAACCGAAAGATTTTCCACATTTTCCACAAATGTGTTCTTTGAGGCTCACATAAACTGAATTTATGTGCTTCGTCAGATCACTTTTTTATCTGAAAGACTTGCCTCACTCTTCGCCTTTTTCATCTTTTACCTATTCATGAACTGAAGATATGTGTCTATTCAAAATACTTTTTTCACCAAAAGACTTTTGACATTCTCCGCACTTGCGTTCTTTGAGTACAAATGAACTAAATCTATGTGCCTCATCAGATTACGCTTATATCCAAAAAACTTTTCGCACTCTCCACACTTGTGTTCTTTGATTTTTTCATGAACTGTAGCAATGTGTGTATGCAACTCTATTTTTTTAATAAAAGACTTGCTACATTCATTGCATTTATGATTTCTGAATTTCAAATGAACTGTATCTACATGCTTTGTTAGATTATTTTTTCGTTCAAAAGACTTGCCGCATTCTTCACATTTGTGTTCTTTGAATTCCAGATGAACTGTATCAATGTGCTTCATCAGATAACTTTTATCACTAAAAAACTTTCCACACTCTTCACATTCATAATCTTTGATTTTCAAATGAACTGCATCTATGTGCTTCGTCAGATGACCCGTATGTGCAAAAGATTTGCCACACTCTCTGCATTTGTGTTCTTTTAGTTCCAGATGAACTGTATCAATGTGCATCATTAAACCATGCTTTTTTCCAAAAGACTTGCCACACTCTCCGCATTGGTGATCTTTGCTTTTTCATGAACTATGGCAGTGTGTCTATTCAATTCACATTTATAACTAAAAGACTTTCTACACTCTTCACATCTGTGATTTTTGTTTTTTTCATGTACTGTGGTAATGTGTCTACGCAAGTTACTTTTTTGGCCAAAAGACTTTCCACATTCCTCACACATGTGTTCTTTGAGTTCCAGATGAACTGTATCAATGTGCTTCATCAGATCATTTTTATAACCAAAAAACTTTCCACACTCTCCGCATTTTTGATCTTTTATTTTCAAATGAACTGTTTCAATGTGCTTCATTAAAGTCTGCTTTCGACCAAAAGACTTGCCACACTCTCCGCATTGGTGATCTTTGATTGTTTCATGAACTGTAGCAATGTGTGTATGCAACGCTATGTTTTTAATAAAAGATTTGTTATATTCATTGCATTTATGATTTCCGAATTTCAAATGAACTGTATCTACGTGCCTCGCCAGATGATCTGCATGTGCAAAAGATTTGCCACACTCTTCGCATCTGTGATCTTTGTTTTTTTCATGTACTGTGGTAATGTGTCTATGTAAGTTATTTTTTTGGCTAAAAGACTTTCCACATTCCTCACACATGTGTTCTTTGAGTTCCAGATGAACTGTATCAATGTGCTTCATCAGATAACTTTTGTACTAAAAAACTTTCCACACTCTTTACATCCATGATCTTTGATTTTCAAATGAACTGCATCTACGTGCCTCGCCAGATAATCTGCATGTGCAAAAGATTTGCCACACTCTCCGCATTTTTGATCTTTTATTTTCAAATGAACTGTATCAATGTGCTTCTTTAAAGTCTGCTTTTGACCAAAAGACTTTCCACATTCCTCACACATGTGTTCTTTAAGTTCCAAATGAACTATATCAATGTGCTTCATCAGATAACTTTTATTACTAAAAAACTTTCCACACTCTTTACATTCATGATCTTTGATTTTCAAATGAACTGTATCTACGTGCCTCGCCAGATGATCTGCATGTGCAAAAGATTTGCCACACTCTCCGCATTGGTGATCTTTGATTTTTTCATGAACTGTTGCAATATGCTCTGCCAAGCTTTTCTCATAACCGAAAACTTTTTCACGCGTGTCGCACGAGTAATTTTTGATTCTTTGATGGACATTCATAACGTGTCTATTCAAACGTTGTTGTGTAACAAAAGACTGTTCACAATTATCGCAAACAAATTTCCTTAGTTTCAAATGAACTGCATCCATGTGATTGTCCAAATTACTTTTAGTTAGGAAAATCTTACCGCAATAATCGCATTTGTGACGTATTTTAGTATTTTGATTTTTAAGCTTAAGTTCTTCTAAATTCGACATTGTAAAAATCTCTCAACTTTTCACTTTTAAATTGAAACATCTATCTACTGGTACTGTTATTTCTCTACTGTTCTCATTCCAAATCTTGTATTTATTTTGAAGTATGAGATTTTCCCGTTGAAATTTTGTTGACGCCGAAATTAATGTACCCGATTCATAACATTACGAAAGTGAATTTATGTTTATTAGAACTTTAATATTATCTCTCTCGTAAAAGTCATGTATTGAGCATTTTTTACCCTTGCTTCTGACCATCAAGTAGTAAATAAATTTGCTCGTGTGGACTCGGTATAAAAACCATCCATATGATCTATGCGTTACGACTTGCTGCAATTAAAAAGTAAAGATCATTTTGAATCAGCATTACAGACCTTTCGTTTCAGCTGGAAACTCTAAAAAGTAATTTTAATAAAACGATAAAGAAGTGAATTTCGAGTTTCTCGACTTCGTCTTCAAAAGTAACGATAAAAAGTCGATGAAAAAAGTAAAAAACACTCTCTCGAGGCAATTTTTGTCTAGCATACGTGAACTCACACCTCGTGCGGTCCATTCACTAACAAAGTATAAGCAGCCCTAGATTTTGATCATCGGCCCACTTTCTCCTTTCACACTTCTGCTCAGGAAAGTTTAAAAAAATTAATAAATTCAAAAAATTACAGGTACATTTTTTGATTGCGATCAAAATTTTATTATTCGTATTTAATTATTCTATGATTGATATAGAATTTTACAATGTGTCAGAAAAACATAATTTTATTGTTGATAAGTTCTACTTTGTATGTGTAAATAATAGATGAACTATTTAAAATATAAGATTTATCATTATTTAAAAAATGAAAACATTTCAACTACAGTTAGAAAAATTTTAACATAGCATATATTTTTGAAAAAAATATAAGTCAAAAGGAAAGAGATTTATAAGCAAAATGTAAAGAGTTTAGCATCTGCGTATTGAAATGGTATACTTGTATGAATATAAATATGTTTTTCGAGTCACTGAATCCTAGTGCGGACTCTGTTTTTTTATTTCATAAAACGAAGTAATAAGACTTAAAATATTCAGTATCAAAATGAGTAAATCATTAATGCAAATTATCATTAATTTTTCATCAGAAATCGCAAAGTATATGATCTTGAACACAGTGGCGTTTCAGGAGTATACAAACTGCTTAAGATTGAAAAAACACGAAACATGCTTTGGACCAGCAGTCTAATGCAATCGTGTATTTTTTGAATCCTCATTACGATTGTAATCTTTTCCACGTTCTTAACGCATTACTTCTCTAAGTTTCAAATGAACTGCCTGCATGTGCCTTATCAGATTACACTTTCCTCCAAACGACTTGCCACACTCCTCACATTTATGATTTTTAATATTTTTATGAACTGTGTCAATGTGTCTAATCAAATCACAATGACGATTGAAAGTTTTTCCGAATGTTTCGCACATGTTTTCCTTAATTTTCAAATGAACTACACCTATGTGCTTTGTCAGATCACTTTAGTAACCAAAAAAACTTCCCACATTCATCGCATTAGTGATCTTTAATTTTTTTATGAACTGTGGATATGTGTCTATCTAAGTTACTTTTTCGACCAAAAGACTTGCCGCACTCCTCGCATTCATGATTTTTGAGTTTTAAATGAACTGAATCTATGTGCCTCATTAGATTACTGTTGTATCCAAATGATTTGCCACACTCTTCGCATTTGTGTTCTTTGAGTTCCAGATGAACTGCGCCTATATGTTTCATCAGATTTATTTTCTTCCCAAAAGACTTTCCACATTCCCGACACATGTGTTCTTTGAGTTCCAGATGAACTGTATCTATATGCTCCATAAGACTACTTTTTCGTCCAAACGACTTGCCACATTCCTCACATATGTGTTCTTTGAGTTCCAGATGAACTGTATCAATGTGCTTCATCAGATAACTTTTATCACTAAAAAACTTTCCACACTCTTCACATTCATGATCTTTGATTTTCAAATGAACTGCATCTATGTGCCTCATCAGATGACTCGTAAATCCAAAAGATTGGCCGCATTCTTCACATGTGTGTCCTTTTGGTTCCAGATGCACTGTACTAATGTGGTTGGTTTTTTCATGAACTATGGCAATGTGTTTATTCAATTCACATTTATAACTAAAAGACTTTCCACACTCTTCGCATCTGTGATCTTTGTTTTTTTCGTGTACTACGGTAATGTGTCTATGTAAGTTAATTTTTTGGCCAAAAGACTTTCCACATTCCTCACACATGTGTTCTTTGAGTTCTAGGTGAACTGTATCAATGTGCTTCATTAAATTATGCTTTTTTCCAAAGAACTTGCCACACTCTCCGCATTGGTGATCTTTGATTTTTTCATGAACTATTGCAATATGCTCAGCCAAGCTTCTCTCATAACCAAAAACTTTTCCACACGTGTCGCATGAGTAATTTTTGATTCTTTGATGGACATTCATAACGTGATCATTCAAACTTTTTTTTGTGACAAAAGACTGTTCACAATCGTCGCAAACAAATTTCTTTAGTTTCAAATGAACTCCATTCACATGACTGTTCAAATTTTGTTTAGTTGATAAAATTTTACCGCAATAATCACATTTGTGACGTATTTTAGAATTTTGATTTTTAAGCTTAAGCTCTTCCAAAGCCGACATTGTAAAAATCTCTCAACTTTTCACTTTTAAATTGAAACATCTATCAACTGGTACTATTATTTCTCTACTGTCCTCATTTCAAATCTTGTATTTATTTTGAACTATGAAATTTTACCGTTGAAATTTTGTTGACGCCAAAACTAATGTATCGATTCATAACATTACGAAAGTTAATTTACGTTTATTAGACCTTTAATATTATCGCTCGTAAAATCATGTATTGAGCATTTTCGCCCTTGATTCTGACCATCAAGTAGTAAATGAATCTGCTCGTATGGACTCGGTATGAAAATCATACGTATGATCCATGCGTTACGACTTGTTGCAATTTAAAAGTAAAAATCATTTTGAATCAGCATTAAAGACACATCGTGTTAGCTGTCAACACTAAAAAGTAATTTTAATGAAACCTTAAAGAGGTGAATTTCGAGTTTCTCGACTTCGTCGTCAATAGTAACGATACAAAGTCAACGAAGAAAGTCGAAAGAAAAATAATTGAAAACACACCTTCGCAAACGACACGCGTTTTGGCTCTCTTCCTCGTCGTGCCGTGAATTTTCTTTTCAATCCATTTGAAAACACTCACTCGTATATAAATCCTACACACACACACACGCATATATACTCGGCAGAAGCGTCAGAAAGAGAGGAAGAAGTGCGTGCGTTTACGGAAGTATTCCACTAGAAAGGAGGTTGAATTTCCGAGTGAAATTTATGAGATACGAGCTATATATATACTGGATGCGCTCGTGCACGATATGTATTAAGAGGAGCTGCTTCTCTCTCCGGGTAGTAGTGCTCTTTCTTGCGAGCAGCTCTCTCCTCGTCGGGCGTCGTCGTCGGGCGGGGAGCGACGGCGATGTCTGCTACGTATTCTCGCGCGTAAGTCAACTTTGCTAAAACGCGCAAAGTTCAATTACTTAAGCTTTCCTTTAGACTGTCAAAAGTCTGCTTGCTGGGTGCAGCTGCAGCCCAGCCCGGTATTATATACATCCAGCAGCGCATATATAATAAAACTTGTTTTACGCGCGATACACATGTTGGGAGTATAAATGTCAAGATGGTGCCAAGTTCGCCGTGTGCAGTGCGTCGTGTGTTTTTTTTTCTTCTCTCTCTCTCTCTTTCCATGAATTTTCAGGGTAATTCAAGCGCTCGAATGTGTGCCACAGCTACACACTACGCTTTTTTTTTCTACGTCTGCCGCGCGTGTTTTCTCCCTCTCTCTCTCTCTCTCGGCTCGGCGTAGCGGTAGTAGTAGTACCTTTTTAACGTCTCGCGCGAAGAACAATCCTATGAATAATACTCATTCGCAAAAACTCATTTATCTCCGACGCACACACACACACACACACACACGAGTATTATTATACGTGTGTGCATGTGTGTTTGCGCGCGTGCGGCCACCCGAGTTCATTAAAATTTCAAAACTTTTGTTACACGAGAGTGTTAGAAAATGCTCTAGGGTCTGTAGCGAGCGAGTGAGCCTCGTTGTTCCTTTTTTTTTCCACTCTGTCTCTCTACTTTGAATTCAACCCTGGCGTGTTTTTGCTTTGCGTTATGTAGCTCGGCGTGTGCGTCGACAAAAAAAAACAAAAAAAAATTATTTCTCCAACGTGGCTATATACATTATAACCCAACCCTCCCGTGCAATAATAATGCAATTGCGATTATTATACGAGTAAGAAGAAAGAGGAAAAAAATGGTTACTTTAATGAATTTACCTCGAACTCGGTAAGGGAGAAAAGAGAGAAAGAGGAGGAATTGCCGTGGCACGCGCGCATACCATAACGCGGCGGCACGAGGAATATTTTATACGTATACGATTTTATTACCTTGTATATATGATGATGATATATACATGTATACAGTCGTGCCCTGTGCACGCGCAATTTTCGGAATATAAACGTTATTAAATCCCGACCTTTTTCCACTCTTAATTTTACCCCGAAATGAAAATACAAAACGATATCGTATAAACGCTGCGTTGTATGCCGCGTAACAGGTGCGTTGCGTTGCGCTGCAAGGATTTTTCCGCGTAATTTTTTTTTTTTTTGTTCTTTCTCTCTTTGTTGTTTGTAAGTGTGTAATAAAACGTTGATGTTATATATATTGCTTTTTTTCATTTCACAGAGAGCTGCAGAGGGACTACGAGATCGAGACGACGACGGACATAGTTCTGTATCGGGGCAACGGGGGCGAATTTTTTTTCAACGAGACCACGGATATCGTGCCTGTAGTAGGTGCCAACGCGACCGAGCCGCTGGCCGAAGACGAGGACTGGGCTCCGATACTCAGGGTGAGCACCGACTTATAAATTCGGACGTTTAAACTTTCGTTTCGCTTGGAAAAATTTACATGGAAATTTACCTCCCATGTATCATAATTTCATTTCAAGTTATAAAGTATAATTTTAGTCGAGTTCGGTACAGTCTAAAAACAATTGCGAAATTTCGTAATTTACTAGCCTCTTTAATTCATAATTCGAATTAGGGAGTATAAAAGTCAGTTAGTAAAATGAATTTATTTAAAATTCTAAATTTTTATAAAAAGATTATTATATACGACTTTTATAACACTTTATTTAAAACATTTACATAGAAAGTCCAAAAAGTGATTGTCCCTAATGAAAATATTTTAAGTTTTTAGGCAAGATATTAAAAAGATCTTGTATAAGATCTTATGTAAGAACTTACATATGATAATCAACTTTGTAAATTCTTGCATAAGATCTTGATAAAATTTCAATACATCTAGTAGCAAGTTTTTGATTTCATTACTAGACTTGAAATAACAAGTTCTTATATAATTTGAATTTCATGATTGTGATTAAGTTTTACTATTTTATCCAAATCTTATACAAGAACTTGCTACCAGATGTCTTACTATTTTATCAAGATGTTATGCAAGAAATTACAATGTCGATTATCATACGTAAGTTCTTGCATAAGATCTTATACAAGATCTTTTTAAAATCTTGCCTAAGAACTTATAAAATATTTTCATTGGGGGTACGCTTTTATGTTTATACTTATTCTGTGGGGTGCAAGAAATGTATCTTTGAACTATGAATTAAAATTAACATTAATATATACAGAAAATTCTGCTGGGCTTCGTCCTCGGCCTCATCATAATCGCCACCGTGGTCGGCAACATCCTCGTCGTCCTCGCCGTCTTCCTCGTCAAAAAACTCCGCAAGCCCTGCAACTATCTGCTGGTGAGTCTGGCGGTGAGCGATCTCTGCGTCGCCTGGCTCGTCATGCCGCTCGCCATGATGTACGAGATCATGGGCTCGTGGACCTTCGGCTCGCGCGCCTGCGAGGTCTGGGTCAGCTTCGACGTGCTCAGCTGCACCGCCAGCATCCTCAATCTCTGCATGATATCCGTCGATCGCTACTACGCCATCTCCAAACCGCTCGAGTACGGCGTGAAGCGTACGACGCGACGCATGACCTTCTACACGGCACTGGTGTGGATCGGTGCGGCCTGCGTGAGTCTGCCGCCGCTGCTGGTGCTCGGCAACGAGTACAAGGTCATGAAGGACTACGGCGCCGCCCAGTGCGGCGTCAGCCAAAACTTTTATTATCAGATTTATGCTACTATCGGTGCGTTTTACTTACCCCTTTGCATCATGGTCACGGTGAGTTTTCTTCTTTTTTTTTCTCTCCATAATACGAGTGTAATTGTACGAATTTTCGGAATTTTTTAAAATATACGCGAGTAGCGTAGCGAGACATTGTAATAACGAATTTTTGACGCGGTAATAAGCCGAATTTTTTCGGCGCAAAATTTTTTCGTGTACCATAAAGAAGAGCCTGCCACTGCTCTATATATAGCACGGTGAGAATGTCTCTCTCTCTCTCTCTCGAATCGTCATTTGTCAAGTGGAAGTACCGCGCGTGAAAGCTCTTTATATATTATATAATATACGCGCCAAGCGCAGAGAGCAACCAAATGATGAAAAATTTCCGATTAAGGTGCGGTCGTTTTTCATCTCGATAATGTGTTTTTCGAGGCCCTGGCCTGCTCGAGAGAGAGAGAGAGAGAGAGAGAGAGAGAGAGAGAATGTAGGCAGTGAGCTTTTATTTATTTTTCTTGCTTTATACCTTACATTTGTTTTCGATCCCGATGGTAGAAGTGCTCAACGTTAATGATGGCGAAAAAATGACCATTAAAAATTTTTTCATATACATGATCATTATTCGGTTTGTTTTTGTTGATTTTCCCGTTACAATTATGTAATAAATAGCGAATTTCAAATGACCTGAAAATGAAAATGTAACTTTTTCAAAAAAATTTGTCCAGTTTACTCAGTCGCTTTAAATACGATAATATTGCTTTGAGATTCCAACACTAGATGTCGTGTACCTTGATTTGTAAATCTGCAAGTGTCAAAGTCAAAATAATTGTATATAAGTCAAAGCGTTCAAGCCCCAAACTCACTTCAGTGAACCTAACGTCGCAATCAGCTTGCTCTTTCTGAAATTCCGTCAAAGTTGAATACAGGTCAGGATGATGTTTACCGACGACGATTGCGAATCTATTATGCCATTCCCCAATAATTTTAGAATGGTAAAATTGATAGCCGCGAACAATTAATTTATTATTGACGATTTGAAGCTCCATTGCTAGGCTAAATAGCTGAACTTAGATGAGAGACTGAACGAGAGTCTCTTTGTCGGCCTTCGCAGCAGCTAGCGATAGTCAAACCATAACATTATTGTTTCGGCGATATTTGAATTATTATGTTTGAAAATTTTATACAATCGGAAAATGGGTAGTCGGAAAAACGGAATCGGAATAATGTAAAATCGGAAATTTCACATAATCGGAAAAATGGCCGTCGGAATAACGGGATCGGAGAAACGGCCGGATACCCTTCATGATTGGTCGGAATCCCGCTTCGGTACTTCATATCATTTTTTTAGTGGGACAACTTAAATGTGGCGTTTACTTATATATGTTTATGTTTTCATAACCAAAATATGGTCATTGACTAACAAAAACACGTCACACTTTTAGTTAGCATACGCCCAGTCCCAACGGCCTCTTCAAGCCCAACAAAACTTTTTCTGTGACGAGAAACCAATCGTAGATCGTTGAGCATTTCTGCCGTACATTCAAAAAAATAAAAGTAAAAAAATTGCGTCAAATTCGAAAAATCTCACTGACGATTTTTGAATGTTTTTTCTTTTGGTCAACCAAAGAAAAAAACTCGAACCCACAAGACAATGCAGTGCGACGTTCTTTCGACGCTATTCACCTTTCCTTTAAACAAAACAAACGAAGCAGCTATTATAGTGCATCGCCGATAATCTCATTCATTCGGACACCTTATTATATAATAAAATACGCACCTTTTGCAGACTTACCTAAGAATATTCATACTCGCGCGCGGGATCGTCATCGCGGAGATACGCGCGCAGACCCACATGGACGCGCTGTGCTACGTCGAGGTACCCACCACGACGACGACGACGAGTACGAGCAGTAGGAGAGCCGCCGCGCACGCCTCCAGCAGTACGAACGATCAGGAGGATCGTTCGGCTTACGAGAAAGCGACGACGACGACGACGACGGACACGGAGGGCCCGAGCTCGATGCAGTCGACCGCCAAGTCGTCGATCGACGGTCCTCTGGATCAGCAGCCGGTGAGTTGATTATTTATTGTTGTATTTACGCGAAAACTATGTAAATTTATATATATATTATATGTATAGATATATCGAGACGCGCGCACAGTCACGAGCGTGTGCCTTTAAATTTATGTTCTGTAGGACGCGTTGAAAAGCTCCGCTCGAATGGAACAATTCGCACTTTCGCTCGGCTTTGATCTCTCCGTATCTCCGGCTTTGTTGTCTCTCTGTTGCTGCTGCTGCTGTTGTTGTTCGTTTGCAGCAGCAGTGGCCAATACTCGCGAGCGAGAATGCCACAAACTCGATAAACTTGGGTCGCTCGCTGCTGGAGCTATAGTCTGGCGTTGGCACAGACACATACTCGTACACACACGTGTGTGTTTTCGCTATTATTATTATCATTATTATTATTATTATATAAAAGCGTTTGTGAGGCTGCAGCAGTTGGTCTAGATACTCGCGTGTGTGTCTGTATAAAACAAAGCCAAACGAGACTACCATATAGTATTTTGCTTCATCCACATGCCGTTTATATACGTGAAATATCGTAGAAACGCACACACACAAAATTGTATAGTATATACATATATCGTACGATTGGCTTCTCTAATTTCGCGGCGTGTGGCATGACCTGCGAGCTATATATGTACGAAGAAGAGAGAGAGAGAGATAAATGAAATATATACAGGAGTCGGACTCGAGTATGTGCTGCTGCACATTCGTGCATAAAAACTCCCGTCATGCGGCGTTTCAAGGTATTTTAATTGCGCTTAAACATTTTACAAGAGTCGTCCAGGCGTAATAAATACGTGCACGACGACGACGACGACGATGATGATACGAGCAATTTAGGAGCGTAATCGAACACTCGGAAAAGTGGCAAAAACCTTCTAATTTAGATTTAATTAAGAGCTTGTTAAAATAAACAAAAAATAAATATACACGTACGGACGAAAATTGACGACGAAGGCGGTATAACGATCGCGCGACGCGAGCGAGAGAAGATAATTACAGAATGCGTTACAATTTTTTTTTGCTTTTAATTGCTCTCGCGGAGCTCGAAAAGTATAAGCGTCGTTTCTGTATTCGAGGATTTTTTTGCAGCTTTCGAGCGGAGTGGATTAGGAGTGGGCCCGGGCGCGCGAGTCATCGCTTTTTGTTCAATTTTGTCGTCGTCGTCGTCGGCACCGAGACAAATGAAAGAAAATCTCATTAAATCTCGTCATTAACGTTTTGTAAGAGTTTCGAGCCTTAAAATTAAGTAAAACGTTGAATAATTCACGTATAAGCTGCGCACAGATAGGTAGATTTATATATGGGCACGTATATGAGGATTTTTACAACTTATCGAAAAAATTCTTTGATTTTTGAACGCACGGAGTAGACGTTGATGATTATTTTTCTGTGCCGATAATCGTATCTTGCTGACTGCTACTTTCGACATCGATTGAACTCTCCTCACAATCTCCTTTGACTTTTAAGGAATGAGATTAACTTAGATTCTAACTCATTAATCCCAGTAGCCTCAAATTTTTTAATCTCTATGATTTGTAAAGTCGCTCATACCTGCATCGCATAAATTAAAGAACGAAACGAGCATCTGAGTATTTTTTTCGCAAAACCGACTGCCAGAATTTATACCTGAGTGACTTTAATTCTATGAAAATTTAGTCATGTATAAATGTAGCGTAGTTGGAGGTATGATTGCGTTAAACGCGAGCGACAACAGTCAGAGCCCCTAACTCATTAGATTTACATTTTCTGCTCGTTACCGTCACCGAATTATCATCGCTCAGGTGTTGGTTTACAGCATACGCATACAGGGAACAAAGCGACACGCGTGCACAATAACTGCTAATATAGACCGCATACAGTGGAGGGGGAAAGTTTCGCCAGAGAGCTATTACATTCGCCGGAAGATCACTTCGCTAATATACTGCGACTGACTGTGTTGACTCGCTGACTGGCGAGTAGCTAAGTTCCTAGACGAGCGCACAAGTGTTTACAAGTTATTTCCTTGAAATTGTATATAGGTTAATCGAGGTGTACTGTGTAAGTGTTGGCTACTCGAATTGTATAACCTCAAATATTTTCGCAGTATTTATCGTGAACATTTACCGTGATTACACGTAATCAAGAAAGGGATGGAAAGCAACGGCGACGTAGTTAGGTAAAAACTTGTGTGTGTGTTATACTACAATTATCCTTTTTTTTACGGTTCTTTATTACATTCGATTATTCGTCAGGGTTAAGGAAGAGCCAAGCGATATACTGACGAACGAAGGTGACGATGATGTTTTCGATCCGGTGGACTCTTTTGATGTCAAAAACGTTCAAATATTGCCGGTTTATGAATTATCGGTGAGTTCAGTGATTTTAAAGTGTATTCCGTTAATCGAATTTTAGAATCATATCTACTATTTTCATTATAGGCTGGAAACGCGAATGAGAACATGGTGTCACAGAAAGGTTCAGATGAAAAAATCTTCGTCGATTGTGAGTGTAAAACTGAACCGCTCTCTATATTCACAAACATCTGCAAATCTGAATGTGAAAGTTGTCCATCCACCGTTAAAAAAGAAAACATAAGTACGACCAAATACATGAATGAAAAAAGTCTAATAATTTTGGTAAAAAAAGGATTCAATTATAATAAGAATTGTCAATTTAACGATAACTCCCGTTTAAAGATTTCCACACTCTTTGAATGTCACATTCGTCAAAAATCATTTGGGCTAAACGATAATCTTAAAACTCACATAAATATGGAACATATTCGTAACAGACCTTTTGACTGTGAGATTTGTCACAAATCATTTGGACTAAAATGTAATCTTAAAACTCACATAAATACAGTACATATTCGTAGCAAACCTTTTGAATGTAACATTTGTCACAAATCATTTGGTCGAAAAAGTCATCTCAAAATTCACATAAATTCAGTACATAATCGTAGCAAACCCTTTGAATGTAATATTTGTCACAAATCATTTGGAAGAAAACATTACGTTAAAACTCACATAAATGTAGTACATAAGAAAAGCAAACCCTTTGAATGTAAAATGTGCCATAAATCATTTGGACAAAAAGAACACCTTGAAACTCATAAAAATACAGTACATAAGAAGAGCAAACCTTTTGAATGTGAGATATGTCACAAATCATTTGGACAAAAAGGTTACCTCAATAGACACATAAATGCAGTGCATATTAGTAGCAAACCCTTCGAGTGCGATATTTGTCACAAATCATTTTCACTCAAGCATACTCTTAATGAACACATCAAAAGGAAACATGATCAGGACAAACCCTTCGCATGTGAGATGTGTCACAAATCATATGGATTAAAAAGTGACCTTAATAAACACGTAACTAGAGTACACGTACGTAGTAAATCTTTAAATAACTAGATCATTCCATTAGGTGTATGTTGTAATGGTTGAATACATTTGGCATAAATATTCTCTAACTTTGTGTAAAAATTTTGTATTATCTTATACTGTTATCGATTTTGTAATGATAGTAAAAAAATTTCTCTTTATTTTTTACACATAAACTAATAGTTGAAATAATAAATCGACGTAATTTTTTCTTGACGTTTGAGATTTTTCAAAATCCGGTCCAAATCCCAAATTCCTCGAAAGTTCTTAAATAATCGGAATAAGTTTTTACGTACTTTTGAAAAAAATGTTATTCTATTTATTTTTCGATAAGTAATATGTGACGATTACGTTCAAATAATTGAAGTTGTGCTTTAATGGACAAGCGCTGATCAAAAATTATACTTCAGGTTATTTTTTCGAATCACGATTGCACCCAACGACAAAAATGCTATAATCGCCATTTTAGCCTCGAATGATTTGTAGAACTGCTCACGTGCGCGCTGTCATTTTCCCAAGAGCGAATATAAAAATTTCATAGGATTCGTCGGGGAAGGATCGCGAGAGCCGAGTGCACACGAGTGAGAGAGAGAGAGGACGAAGAAAAATAAAACTGTGCCGCGTACAACCACTGCAAATCAATGGCCCAGATTCGCGTTTAGAAAAAAAAAAAGGAGAAGAAGAGAGACACAACACACACACCCGCGCACGCACAAAGGCACACGAAAATTCCTCGAAACACGCGAAGCCGCTTTTGTAAAAGGGTTATTAAAAAGAAAAAAAGCGGTTAAAGCAAAAAATAAAACAGCAGAAACGAGAGAGTAAAATTTGCCAAACAAAAGCAAAATTCGGACGTCGCGTTATTAGATCTGTTTTGAAAAAGTTGAAAAAAAAAAAAAAGAAAAAAAAAACGAGAGAGAGAGAGAGCCGCGATCGAGCGTGAAAGCCGCGATAAAATACACTAACCATCACGCTGCCGCCGCTGCTGCGCTATAGGGCGAAGCTGCTCCTCGTAAATTCAATGCCGCGCGAAGCTCTCTCTCTTTGCTTTGCCACCACCGCACACGGTGTGCAGTAGGTCGCGCGCGCGCGATTCGATTTTAAGAGTCCAGGACAGCAGCGAGGCCTGCACAGCCTATATATAGCAGCTCTCTCACGGAAGCCTATATAATAGCCCGTTGGCCGACGCCGCTGCAGCTCTGAAATTATTGGATCTTGAGGTGAGCGACGAAGTAAAACAAAAGGCCTTTTATCCCCCTTTTCGCCCTCGGCCCTTTATATATATAGATATGTAATCGCGCGGCCGCCCCCTTCAGCGCGAGCATTTGATGCTTTATCTCGTCACACACACGAGCAATAGGGCCGAGAGCTCTGGAAATCGACAATTTCTCCGCTAAAACTTTCCGAAAGGCATATAGTATATATATACGTGTATATAATCCTTCCGCGAGCTGAGGCTGCTGCTGCTACCGCTGCTCTACTGACGTGCACCGGCTGGTTTTCATAGCCTCGTCCGCGCGAGCGATCGTTCGGGCCTCTGCCTCTTTCTGCTGCACTAAAAATGAACGTTTACGAGCGATATAAAAAATATAAGAGTGAGTATAGACAGAACGAGAGAGAGAGAGAGAGGGAAAA